GGGGCGCGCGGGTTGGGGAAAGATATAGCTGACTGGCTGTTCAGTTTAATGAAGTGAAGCAGTGATTTTCACTTTATAACATTTTGACATACTAGTTTAGTTTAGTAATAGTAGTTGAGTTTCAGTTTAAAACGGTTCAGTAAACTGAACTTCTTATGCAAGTGTGAGTGTGCGTGAGAATCTTTTTAACCCAGTGGTCTCAGATATCTAAACTTAAGCAGGCCTTAACTGTAGATGTCATTTGAATCGTATGTGGGATGGAAGGCAATGACACTCTGTGTGCCTCTACTGTCAGGACATCATCATCAGAAAACGTTTATATTTTAGGAGGCAGGAATATGAACAAATGATGTCTGGTTTATTTTGTTGATGTTCTTCAGAGTCTAAAACTTTCCACTTATTTGCTTTAACAGTGGGACAGAATGAACAGAACGTGCATGTCAGTGGTCAGCTAGCCATTGGCTGTAGTCTTAGCAGTTTGTGAAAATCCAACTTTAACAGATGACATAGTGAAAGGCCTCCACCAGTCGTTATCCTTTGAAGTCAGTTTGGTGTGTCAACCATATTTTCCAAATGTTCCGGCCTGATTGAATCTCTTAGTCAATGGTCAGGGATAACCTGATTAAACCTTGCAACTTCAGGCTGTTGGAGGCTGTAAGGTTTTCATGCTGAAAACAACTATAGTAACAGACATAACTGAAGAGTTTGAAAATAAGCAATCTGTGTTCCTCAGTTAAGTATGATAGAAAATATATGTCACTTTTGACTGTGGAAGTGAGTCAGCAGGTTCCAGGTCTGTGATTTGGAACCTTTTGTTTACATTTGGCTCACGTACTGTTCTTTTAAGGAAGCAAGAGCCCTCGCTTTGCCCATCCAGAGTTACCTTACCTTCCTAGTTCCTTTTGGGAATAATCTTCCCATCAAAGGGAATTGTGCAAACCATGTTTAGACTTCAAATCTTGGACATCGATATACGTGGAGGCATTTCTTAAACCACCTCTCTGTTGGCGTTTGGTTGTAACCACTACATCATATTAGGTCCCTCATTAACAGTCAATTTTTGCACCTATTAGTGAATGTTTCGGTAGCCTGGTGTGTTTTATCCAGTGGTTTTTCTTGCCTCTCAGGTTTAGAAAGCATTCCTCCGCCTGCTTGGCCGTACTCCACGCTTCTGCACTGGTGTGACAGCCACAACAAAGCACTGAGCACTGGAGACAGGGGTTTGGAGCTGAGGCAGGGATGTTATTAAAAGTGAATCAAGTTGAAAGAATTAGTGGAGGAAATGTAAACGCACCTGAAGAGACGTATGTAAGACATTGGTGTACATTAGGGAAGAAGACTAAATGTGTCGGATACTTTGAGATGGGATCCAGTATCTCTTCACTCATCTCTTCCTCCTGTCAGTCTGTACTGAGGGCTGGGTTTATGAGGGTGGAGAGCGACACAGAGATGCTGTCTTCCAGTACTTCTTCCTGATCTCAGTGAGAACTCATAGCAAAGGATCTTTGGAGCACTTTCTCTTTATTTGAGGGGTTAAAGTTCCTGAGAATGGTTTGCTGAAAATCAACAGTAAAAACAAAGAAGGAAGATAGAATGAGAGAAGAAAACCAGAGAGCAAGGAAAACAGGCGCAGAAGCGGAAGGTGGTATGCTTGCTGTTTGTCTGTTTTGGAATAAAGCTTGGTATGCTCATTTGCCGATATCCACCTCTCAGAGACTTAGAATGAAGAACTGGAAGACATCCCAGAGTTTTGTTTGCTGACTTCTCTCTGTCCCAGATTTTTTTTCTTCATTCCTGCTCCTATTTCAGAGGCGCCACTGGATTTAGGAGCAGTGGAAGAGGAGGAGAAACAGTTAGAGAGGGGGAGCAGGGAGGAGACACATCACACGTTTCTCTAAATTTAAAATTATATAGTACGTTTTGTGTTGATGTTTTGACTGGAGCCTCCCCAGTTGATTATGACAAGCTCCAACTTGAAAGCTATTTCAAGTTTTCCAATGGATCAAAGAATAACCAAAGTTGGTGTGCTCTCCCCTCCCCTCCTCTTGGTTTCTGTCATGCTCTCGGTGGCAGTGGGCAACCATACAGGAAGGATCAAGGTGGTCTTCACACCAACCATCTGCAAATTAACCTGCATAGGAGGCAGATGTCATAACAACTGCGAGCTGGGAAACACCACCACCATCATCAGTGAGAACGGCCACGCTACAGACACACTGACAGCACCCAACTTCAGAGTAGGTGAGTGATCCACAGTTCTGTGTGTTGCTTTTGAGACCTTGTATGTTCACCAATTCACACACACACACACACACACACACACACACACACTGCTCTCTATGGATGGTACTGCTAACCGGCTGTGATATTAGATCTGTTGATGGACAACACGTTTGTCGACATTAAAATCTTTTACTTAATCCTAGCAAATAATTTAGCTTACCAATCGGAGGAGTCTGCTCGGATTTCTGTTTCCATTCTACATGTGTTTCTTTACCTACTGTCATCTGTAAACACCAGGCAGCATACGCTTGTTTATTGTCTAACTTCATTCAAAGTCCAATAACTGTAGGTGCAGAATCTGACCTTCTGCCCAGGGTGCTGCTATTATGGTTATCACATAAAATGTATATAACTATAAACGTACACAAATTTACTCACTGACAGGTGAACATTAATCTAAATTGATATTGATATTCTTATCTGACTTTGGGTTAGGCTGTGGACGAACACCGCCGTTTCCAAGCATTGTTTTAGAGATGTATATTTCTAGAAGTGTTAAATAAAAAAATAGACAAACTCAATTTTCTTGCCTGACAAACTCTTTGATTTGAGGGTAGACCTCATCTTGAACTCTATAGGAGATTAACAGACTTTGAATGAGTGTATACAAGAACATTGCAGCCTCAGGGGATCATGAAACAAGTTCTGTGCAATGGAGCATGTGATGTGGGTGTTCTTTAATGTATTGCACAGACCCGGCAAACTGTGTCTGAACTTGCCTCAGTCCTTAGAAGGAACAGATCTCCAGCTCTGACATATGCAGAAACATGGGAAGAGCGGAACAAGATGAATTCCTGTCTGACTCAGCTGAACAAATTAGTAAAACTGGAGTACCACAAGACTTGTATCTGTGGGTGACCGGGGGGGATGGGTTTTTTTTAGTGCTGGGCAACGATTAAAATATTTAATCGCGATTAATCGCATGGAGTTTTTGCGATTAATCGCATTGTTATGGCAAAGTTCAATAATGAATTCAAAAGTACTGCTATATGAACAAAAGGGCAATAACATTTGGTTCACGAGATGCAGGTAGCGTTTGTGACTTTAAAGGCTCAAGGACACACACACACACACACACACACACACACACACACACACACATACATACATACATACATACATACATACATACATACATACATACACAACTGACTATAGGATGTTTGCTGGCTTTTATCCCACTGTTCTTGTCATCCTCTTTTTGTTATGTCTATGTATAGTCTCTTGTCTTTCAATAAAAATAAAAAAAATTATAATAAATTAAAAAAAATGCGTTAACGCGCAATAAAATAATTGTCGGCGTTAATTAATGAATGCGTTAACGCGAAATTAACGCGTTAACTTGCCCAGCACTAGTTTTTTTGTTTACTGGAATGGATTTGTAGTTATGTCTGGGTTTACTCATAGCAGTTAAATACATTTTGCTTCAAGATCAAATTTGACAATTTGAGCCACGAACCAATTACCAAATATCTGTACATCTGAGGAGGTGGTCACACTGTAGAATCTAAAATGGTCAAAACTATTCTTTTGAATATTCAATTTAATTCGTTTTGTCTCTTGAAGAGGAAATGCTGCTGTGAAATAAACTTTTGGCATGGTTACATAATGTGTGTTTTTAAAACAGTTATTCAGCGATGGCGTCCTTTGTAGGAAAACGTAGATCACCTTCAACATGGATGTACTATGGGAACGGTGGTAGAAAGAAACATTTTCAACCTGGAATAATAAAATGAAACTCTTGTAGCTGTAGGACATTTGACTGCGGCGACTGTACTGTGGACACATATTTTGTAATATTAGATTACATTACATTAAATTCAACTTTATTGCCATTGCACAGTGTACAGGCACTGTGACGGAATGCAGTAAAAAAGTAATTTTAACATATTACAGACAGGGTGTCTGCTGTAACCACTCTGATTCTGAGTGGAATTAAAATGTATGGAATTTCATAAAATAAAATAAAAATGAACAGAGGAGGAGCTTGCTTTTGCTTTTACTTATTTTTGTTTTTTGGAAAATATTTCTCAGCAAAGGCTCTTATGAAGTAATTAATTCACATATATTACAGTGCAATATGCAGGTTCACTTGTTAGGTGCCACTGAAATAATAACAACCCAGAGTCATCTATTGGTTACATCAGTTAGAAATACAGAACAGTAAACCAGATATTTGTTTTATTGGTTACTTTTCCAACCTACTGTTGCAGATTCACACTGCACATGGATCTGACTGAAGGGGGAGAAATGGAGCTTTAGTCTCCTGTGCATGTCCACGCTTGCCTCATTCCTCCCCTGCCCTGACTCTTCCCTTCCTTCCTCCGTCCTTCTCATCTGTGTGATAGAGTGCCGACCTGAGCCAGGGAGCTGGACTAGCTGAAAGTCTATTTGCAGTCCAGACCGAGCTCGAAGGGCCGAGACAATAAATTGCACTTGTCTTGTTTATCATACTTACCCGATGACAGAAGGGGTTAGAGAGGAGTGTTGATTCAAGATACAATGGAAGGAACGGGAGGATCTTTTCAAACTCAGCCGACAACCCATGATGACATGTTGGCCAATTAACAGAGCCAAAAAAGTCCAGAAGATAAGGTTAAGGAAAAATATAAACCTCAAAGCCGTATAAAGTATAAATGTTTTGTAATTTTAGATTGTCTTGTATTGTGGAGTTTGTATTACTTACTAAAGAATGATCATATCTCAGTGAACAAAAACTTTCTTTTCAACCAAATGAAGGCTAGTTCTACGTCAGATAGTTGCCTCAGGGCTTTTCACCAGCTAATCAGCAGAAAAATGCTCCCTGGGACAGCGGCCCAGTTCTTCATCCATCTGTCTGATTGTCTCGAAGCCTGGCTGGCTGTGTCTCTTCTTCTGTCACGTTGTTTCTCGTTATATAATGGTAAACTCAAAACCCCAAATGCAGAGTTTTACTCAGTGTTCTTCAACGAATTTTGTGAGACTATGGTGGTGGACCTCGTAACCCTCGAAGGGGGTCCGGGGACTTTGAACTCTTGTCAACAAGTTTGTGCTCCAGCAGTGGTGGAATGTAACTAAGTATATTTAGGCTACTCAATAACTGTACTTGAGTACAATTATGAGGTACCTGTACTTTACTTGAGTATTTCCATTTTATTTAACTTTATACTTCTCGTCCACTACATCTCAAAGGGAAATTTAGTACTTTTAACATCACTACTTTTATTTGACAACATTAGTTACTAGTTAGGCTACTTTGCAGATTCAGATTATTAATATAAAATATAAATCAACTGTTAAACTATGATGTATTATTAATTTGTTTATAGCCTGATTGTTACCTACATTAAGTACTTAAAACTAGCTCCACCTTTAACAGCTGCAACATTAAACCGATGAACACATTAATACATCAATAATTATAATCCAATGTTATAGGTCTACCACAAATATATTATTGGAAATTGGCCATTCTGCATAATTTTGTACTTTTAGTACTTTAAGTATATTTTGATGCCAATAATTTTGTACTTTTTCTTAATTAGCATTTTAAATGTGGGACTTTTAGTAAGTATTTTTACACTGCGCTCTAGCACAGAGTGCAGTTAGTGACAGTGGCTCCATGGTAACCGCGACAGCGTGACAATTAGCAACAGGGGCGGGGCTTAGCGAAGGGTCAATTCCCCAGAATATTTTTCGCCTGTTCTACTTCTTGTGAGAGTGAACTGTTAAGATTTGAGGTTAGATAAATGGCCTTTTCTAAGCTAAGTAAAACACTACAATTCTTAGTATCGGGTACATTTTACACACTGTTCCTTTTAAAAAAAAAAATGTAAGGAATTTCTTGCTTTTTTTATGCACATTTAAGATTCCCTGACCTGTACAGCACTCAATTTGCTCAGCTTCCAATCCAACTATGACGTACTTAAGCCTAATTATTGACAGATGCATTGAAAAGTCAGACAAATATGTTTATAAAGGCGAGTCCTTTTTTTGTTTGTATCTGTGTGTGGAAGCATTAGTGCATCAACATCATCTACCTCTTGTTCTTTTTTCTCTTCCTCAGTGGTGTGTCACCTGCCGTGTATAAATGGTGGGAAGTGCAGCACCAGGGACAAGTGTCAGTGCCCTCCCAACTTCACTGGAAAGTTCTGTCAGATGCCTGTTCAGAACGGACACCAGCAGCACCAGCAGACGTCAGGCGGCTACAGACAAACTCAGGTCCACTCCACACATACACTGCCTCTGACCTACAGCAACGGCCAGAATCCCGGTGAGTGAAAAGCACAACTGTGATGCTAGCAGTACAATTAAAGGCTAAACAGTTGGGTTTGTAGATGGAAAATGTGGGTGGAAAAAGTGGAGGAACTTCCTGAAAAGGATGCATTATTTAGCCCATTTGCTGCAAGTCACGCATTGCAAAGGCTGCCTTGATGGTCGTAAAAAGCACAACTCACAAATATGAAATTCTACAGCTCTGGAATGTGGCCAGCAGTAATGTAGAGTTGAGGTTACTTGTAGTAAATGGCTTAAAACATGTGTAAACACTGGCGCCAGTGTGTTAGTCATTGTAATAGTCTCCCCACCCACATTAGTTCGAAAGATTTTTCTTTAGCTGGCTCTGTTTCAGTTAGAACAATAAGTTACAAATATTACATCTCCAATAGCTGTTAAATACCTGCAAAAGGCCCACACTCTATTTGAACATCATTTTGTTTAAAGAGGCACTCCAGTCATTTTATATTACACTTCCATAAAGTTGGCGGGATAGTGAGAGCAAGGTTGAGATACATTTTTTGAATTACCACAGTTCAGCAGACTGTCTGCCCGAGAGAGACAGCTGTGTGGCCCAACGCATGCATACATCAACACACTAAACGACAAGATGCAGCAAGAGCCATTTAAACTGATCACAGGCTGCATGCCTGTAGAAAATGCAGCTAGTGTACATGGCAGCTCTGAAACGATCTGAAGTCTGAAGATAAAGTCTACAACATAACATACTGTAACAAACAGCTCATCTACAAAAGATATTTTACATTTTATCCTTAGAATGCCAAACATTCTCTTGGTCCAACTTCTCCAATGGGACTGTTTGCTGCTTTGGCTCTGTTTTATGTCCTAAACTAAATATTTCTGGGTTTTGGACTGCCAGTTGGACAAGAGTCTTGTGCTCAAGAAAATTACAATTTTTTAAAATGTATTTTTCAGATCAGTTAGCTGTCCCCCATCTTCACTTAGTAATAGTAGCAAGAGCCAGCTGAGTGTCGGCTTCTGCTGAAGTAGCCCTCTGTCGATGTAGGGACTGACATACAGAGAATACTCTGGAGGGAGCAGGACTTAAAGGATTTTGAATCACTTTAAATTTCTTAATGTAATACACAAATTCAGGACATGACTTATAGATTACTACAGCAGACTAAGAAGGAATATTATACAGTTCATAAATGTATTTCAACCTATGGCCTAATAAATAAATAAATTGTCTTACCTCAAAATCGAATATGATATCCAGATTTTTACTCACTAGAGTACTACAATACTACAACTCCCATAATGCAACGCAGAAGTGTTAGATCCTCCCTGCTGGATAAACACTCACATGTTTCCAACTCTAATCCCCCAGTTTGTCACACAGGTTTTCTGCAATAACTTTGTAATCTCCAAGCACAAGTTGATCTTTCAGTTCAAGCAGTGGTCAGTCGCAACACACCACATTCACAATAATAGAGGAAGCTGTTTTTCTGCGATAATGCGAATACGCTATCAGACTTGACAAAGCTCCCCTAACCACTTATGCTTAAAAGACTAATCTATATGCATCCCTTAAAAATATTACACATTCTTTCCAGTAATACCCACCCCTTCCTTTTTATAATGACATTGTTCTGTAATAATTGTATTGTTCATATTGTCCCATGTTCCTTCAGTGTTCAACCCCAGCATCGTCAACATCCACATCAAACATCCTCCAGAGGCCTCTGTCCAGGTCCACCAGGTGTCCCAGCTGGATAACTACCACAACAACGGGCAACAGCTGAAAGGTTCCCAGTCAGGCTCCTCTTCATCCACCAGTTACACCTATCACCACACAGAGAGCAGCCAGAAGATCCAGCACCACGGCTACAACATAGTTTATCCCAGCCAGCATGGCTACCAGCTCCCCCAGTACCAGCCTGTCACCTCCAAGAACACTCTGGGTCGCTGCTTCCAGGAGACAGCAGGGAGTCAGGTACCCTGTCAGAAATGTCTACTGCATGCTAGCTCAATTCAACATCTTAGAAAATAATGTAAAACAATCAATGGAGCCTCTCAATAGGAGAGGAAGTATGTAAACTAGGGTGTGCCACGTCATGTCAATCATGATAATCCCAGTATACATCTTAAACTGATACAAACTTGTCCTGTCACATTATTACCTTAGGGTAAACTGTTGACATACAGACTTTACATTACTTTAATATTGGGACTAGGTACAGCAGCCAAACAAATGGTTAAAGGCCAATGTAACGTTGCTGCATTGTTGCTTTCATAAAAAGGGTTTTGATCACATGAACTTCAGAGATGAATAGCAAAGGTGCTACAATACACAACATACTTCACCATCTAGTAACTACAAGACAAGTTGCATCAGGTAAGTAATTAATCAGCAAAGCTCGGAGGAGTAGAAGCTAATGGAGCACTTAGTCACATTCAGAAAGGGGAATTTGAGAAAAAAGTCACAATTTTGTATCGCAAAAACAATCTTTAACTCCTAATGTTAACTGTTTCTTTGTCACTTTTAAACATACAAAGTATTCCTTATTGGACTTCAAAAGTGCTATATATCGAGATTGGAAGCATTTTTATTGCCTCTCAACAGCTCTCAACATGCAGCTAACGGCGCTCCGCTAACAGTGCAAACAATGAAAACAACGGCAAAAGTGCTGGCAGAGCTAACAGTGCTTACCTGAGAGGGCAGAGGGTGGGTTCTACGCTTCCACAACAATGCCGTCAGTCGGAACAGCATTATCAGCTGTAATCCTCCGTACGAGTGCAGTGTAGAGCAGCGACCGTGAGATAGCCAGGGCACGCTCACGTGCACAAATGCAATGAAAGCTAATCTAAACTAAGTACAGTGAAGCTTGGAGTTCAAAACCCATAGAGATAATTACTTCATTCTATGTTTAGGTAGACATTACTCCACTATATCTTCACATAGCTAGCTTCACGTAGGGCAAGGAAAAATCCAATAAGCTATATTAACTTACTATTTGACTAAAATAGCCAAGAAACAGTTCACTTCTTGTCTCCTCATATTGGGGTCCTACACTAACGTTGTCATCTAGCATCTAATGGTACCAGGTTCATAAACAACAATGGCTAATTCATTGTTTTGTGGTGAATCCATTATTAAATGAGGCTAGTGTCTACGCTCTGAGCACTGGTCCCTCACACTAGTATTCAGGGAAATGGTAAATGGACTTGTACTTGTACAGCACTTTTCTAGTCTTTGGCAAGCTACCATGCCCATCATCAGGACTAAATAACATTCACACACTGTAGGCACAGCTACAATTTTGGGGGTTAAGTGTCTTGCCCATCGACATGCGACTAGCAGAGCCGGGGATCGAACTGCCGATACCTTGATTGAAGGACGACCCTGCTCTCCAATAAGCCACAGTCACCCATGATGTACTGATGTCAATACTGTCCCTGCTCAGGTGTTTACTTACATATGTGTCTGTATGAAGCCTCAGGTGAACATTAACAACATCTCAGGGGTGTCAGTTTTTAGCCATATAGTTTGACTCTATGGATGGCAGCGTCAGTTGGTCAGTCCACTGGTTGGACATTATTGGTTCCAGGAGGATGGATCCTACTGACTTTGTTGATCCCTCGATCAGTAAAAGTTTTTTGGGGGGAAGACAGAGGCTGTTGTATGCTGTACAGATTATAAGGCAAATTTGTGCATTGCGATATTGGTCTATACAAATAAATTTAATTGAAAAAAAAACCCAATATCTGACTTCCTCAAATGTCCAATTATGCAATACATCAGCCTCAGTTGTACTTGATGTTTACTGCTAAGAAGTAAACGTTAGCATGCTAACACGCTAAACTAAGGTGGTGAATATGGTTAATATTGTTAGCACTGTCATTGTGATGTAGGCATTGTTAGCACTACTGTGCTAAAGGACAACTGTGCAGAGCTATTAACGTGTCTGTAGACTCCAGTCTACAGACACGTGGAACCCAGTGGAACTTTCCTTTTAATAAGAGTATCTCACATGAAACCAGCCACCCTAACAGTCAGTATTCATGCATTTACATGCTAGCTATAAAGCAGCGTGTTTACTGGCCACCAGTATGCAAGCTGTGACATCAAATTTCATAGGAAAAGATTGATATATTGTTATCTCTGTGCACCCCATGAAGAGAAAAAACTCCAACACCTGTTTAGCCCAGATCAGTGCAAAAACACAAAGACTAGAATAGTCTAGTAGAATTGACAGATGTGTGGTGCTACAGCCAAAACAAAGCAACCACCCTTGATATCAAGTCCTGGAGATAAGGGATGTAAAATGAAGAGCAGATGTATTGTCTCAGTGTAGAAAATCACAATTTCGAGTTTAAGTGAACATCATAAATGTAGAGTCACTCCATCACCAGGTCACATTTTACAGACCAGCTGTTACCATAAAGATAAGGGACTGTGAGCGTGTTATCGGCATGTGTGGCCATCTGATTGACCTGGGGATCAGAAACACAGAGGAAACAGACTATACAAAAACATCATTTTTATTCTAATAAAAATAATAATTCCTCTTCCATTCCTTATTTCTCTCTCACTCTGTGTACATATGTATGTTTCAGTGTGGGAAGGCTCTGCCAGGTCTCACTAAGCAGGAACAGTGCTGTGGGACCATTGGGACGTCCTGGGGTTTCCACAAATGCCAGAATTGTCCAAAGAAACCATGTAAGTACAGATGTTTTTCTTGTCGTTTTGGACACCTAATTGACACATTTCTCTGAGAACCTCTTCATGCCTCAAAACATTAGCTGCTTTGTGTGTGTGGTTTTCATCAGGTTAGCCGATTCTCGATGCCAGTAAGGTTCAACATCCTAAATACCCACAACATTTTCTACAGTTTGATGGCAAATAATCTTAAAAACCTCTGCTATCCCACTTTTATCAATATAACTATATCAATGTGTATAGATATTTTAAATTATTGTATCCAGGCTTGCGACACAACATGTAACACTTAGCTACAAGACAATTCAGCAGCAATTAGCAGCATTCTACGGTCTGTTTTTTCAGTGTTAAGTTACTTTTTACGTATTACTCCTTTCAAAAGTAATAATATAACTTTGTTTATTACTTGGTATTATATTTAATTAGTTATGTTGCTCTTTATATTACTTTATTACTTTCTAGAAAATAAGTTCAGTATAGAAAATGCTCGTGGAGATGCCAACACGGTCCATTCACTTACCGTAACAGTTCTGATCTTCATACACAGCAAGAACACACTTTTTTTAGCGGAAGCAATAAAATCATTTTTGAATCAATGGAATCATTTTTAAATCAATATTTTCTGTTCAAAATATTGATTTATTTAGTAAGTAGCTGTAAGTAGTAACATGATGTACAGCAAGGGGGTAATGTACAGTGTTCCTTTCTTAAAAAACAGAATTAGAACAGAAATAAATCAGTTGTATTGTGTTAGCAACCCTCGCCTGTTCCAATAGTGGAAACATGTCCAGAAGCATCTCACTGCAGCAGCCCACTGTGCTATTGGGAACAGTGCTGTATCAACCTTCCTAGCAGCCTCACCACCCATTATATCTAACATAATATCTTTGGCAGCAGTCAGAATTTTGATCTTCACTGACTGTGTGGTATAGTGTATAGTGATATGAGGTTAAAAAACACAGCCTCAGGGCTCAGTGAGGAATGTTCTGAGCTGCTTTAAATCTTGACTGTTAACTCGGTGCTCTTTCTTTGGAAGAATGAAGATGGTAAACCAGAGCAATTCTATGAGGTCGCATTGGACAAATACACGCATGCACTCAGTGAGGTCTGAGTTAGATTTGCTCTGTCTCAAAGCATTAGGCTTGAGTTAGCGTCATAGCATCTTAATCAGGATCCAGAGTTCTATTGGACTTCCATGGTTTTCGGAAGAATAAGTCCTATTCATTTTCAGAATCAGTTTTATTGGCCACATAGCATGGATTTGACTCAGGTTATTTTGCTCCCATTGTGCATACACAGAAACACAACTAAAAACAAGGACAACAGAGCTAAACAACAATAAACAACTAACCGTACGTAGCCACAGACAGTGGTACATAACTAGTAGTTGGAGCACTTATAGGTGTGGATTGACATGAAACTGTAAGAGACTATTGAATCAGTGCACAGCATTATCAACAATTTCAGAAAATGTCAGTTTCATTGATAGAAAGTCCATAAAACTTGAGGAAAAAAGTGAACTATGATGATGGTGTTTGGGTATCAGAAACATCCAATCACTGAGCTTGTAATAAACTAAGCTGAAGAATATATTCAGTATTTTTACAAGTTCACTCTCAAATTTAGGTGCCGCTGGGTTTGTTACAATGACAACAATTTTGGAATTCTCCATAACAGCAGCTGAGGCTTATTGCTTCATGCATACGTATTTCCTTACAGTCTATCCTAATTGGAAATGTTGCTGTCTTTCAAACCTGTACACATTCAATGCATTACAACTTTCACTCAGTTCAGAGATCAATCAATCATTTATTATTGACCATGGAATGAATGAATTAGGTTCATTGCAAGTTCACACTTTTGGTCATAATATGCATTTAAAATATGACAAACCCTGTTTATCAGCAGTCACTCGTGCCAGTTTCTAACCCACATAAACACCATGAGAGGAACATTTCAGCCTTACTAATCACATTATTTCAGTTGGAGTCATTACAAAGCCAAATATTTGTCCTTCCCTCTGTTCTCCTCAGGAATGGCAGGGGCATGAGTTCAGATTTTTTTCCCACTTTTCAGTGAAGTGTGAAATAGTCCATTGTGCCATGGAGACACTGGTAGCTGGTAAATAGATTGGCTTTATCGCTCGAACAAATATCGCCTTGTTGTTTCCTGCTGAGCAAAATATCAATCTGCTTGCAGGTATTTGGGTACCACGTCCCCACTGGTGCCTTTGTCCAGTATTACAGCAGAGCCCTGTTTCTAACCTGCAGCAGAGCGTTGCAAGAGTTTGACTCATCAGTCTGTGGTTGGTTCTAAGTTGCTGGCTGTCTGAGCAGCTTGCAGCTCTCTAACCTCCAGCTTCTTTCCATGATTCTCATCACTGTCGCATGATTATTATTCTTTTTTTCATCACTACCTCTCACTGTCTTCATCTTTTCTCTTTAATCTGCTCCTTAATTAGTCAAGTGAGTATTTTGCAGCTCAATTAAATGCAGCTTTTTAAATAGGAGGGCACGAGTTAAAATGAATATTCATGCATTAACTTCAGTGTTGGAAAGAAAATGCTGTATGATCCATTATTCAGAAGTAATCAAACTGCTCAGGTTGTGAAGATGCGGTCTAGTTGATTGAAAAAGCATTGTTACTCATGCTGCTGATGCATGAAGCAAACATCTAATTGCTTCTTATTTAATGAATATCCAACTACATTGAGATGGTAATGCTAGTGTGCCTTTCCTGCCTCCTATCTTAATTCAGTTGAGATAAAAATGTTGGCATGTTTGTTCAAATCAATGATTTTCAACAAGCTTTGTTGACTTAAAATA